GATCCCCTAAAACCCAAGTCATGTCACAGCACTACTCTGCTCACTGTTCTTCAGTGGCTTCCCATTGCACTCAGCATAAAAGCCAAAACTCCTACAGTGGCCAATGAGGTTGTCCCCTTACCTCCCTGAACTAATTCCCTAGGGCTGCTGGTTCACTCTGCCCCACCCATGAGGCTTGCTTGCTATTTCTATTTCTATGACACTGCAAGTAGGCAACCCCTGAGAACCTTCGCATTGGTTGTTCCCTTGGCCTGGCATATTCTTCTCCAGGGCTATCAAATGACTAAATCTCTTCTTTTACTAGATCCTTCCTCAAATGTCACTTGAATGAGTCTTATCCTGACAAATGTATGGATAAAAAAATGCACTATATATACAATGGAGTGCCATTATGCTGTCCAGAAAGATAAACTTGAGTTATTTACAGCAAAATGGATGTATTGAGACTATAATGTTGAGTGAAGTAACTCAGACACACAGCTTAAATATCTCGTGTTTCTTGTATAAAAAATTAATATTTAAATAAGGTACAAAATAAAAGACAGATAATAGGAAAAGAGAGAGAGGAAAAAATGGTATTATAACCAAGTGCAGTATATCTGAATGTGTGCCTTGACTTAGTATAATTGTCTTATATATTTTTATATGTTTTTGGCCTACTAGTCTGGTTTTTAAATCTGTATATAAGACAATTAACTTTATAAGGTCTTATAAGTTAATGAATCCGATGCTGGCAAAATAAAAGGAGGAATGGAGGGAAGAGAAGAAAAAGAAATGTGTCATGTACATTTACCAATTCCCTACAGTGAATGTAATCATTATGTACTGCAAACATGCACTAATAAAAGTAAAAAATAAATAAATAAAACTGCCCACCTGGGCTTAAGTGTACCATAAAATTAAACACGTTTTTTATTTACTTGTATTACTTGTCTCCTCCTGTACAGTGTAAGCCTGGAAGGGTACATTTTGGGGGGAAATGGGAGGAACAGAGAGTCTGTTTCATTCTCTATTTTTCCACCCTGAACAATACCTGTGAACACAGGAAATGCTCAATAAATTGTGTGAATAAACTCACTCTGAAAGAGTTTAGACATAATTCTACAGACAACTAAAAACCCAGCAGTAGTGAAAGGACTACATCTGTGTCTTAGACTATTTTAGCTGAAAAGCAAGAACTGGATTAGTGGGGGAAAGCTGAGAGGCAAGAAGCCCATCAAGCTGTGTAGAAATCCAGGTGGGTATACAAAAAAATACAGGGAAAGACAGGGCAGGAGGAGGGAACTGGGAGATGTATTTCTGCAGTGTTGGTCTGTGTATCTGTGAAGTCTGCTGGGGACACACACAAGTCTACAGTAGATCTCATCTATACTGATATACACACACACATCTCATGGCCCTACAAAACCTGCCAGCTGTACGTGCTTCAAGACACTTGACAAGAATGTCAAACTGACTGACAATAGTTGCTTCACAAATCTGTGAGATAATTGTATGTAAAACTCAAAAATGTCACTCATTCTGGTTCTGGACCGACCTGGGGCCTCTGGTGGCAGCTGGGTTGGAACTGCAGTTCTCTCACTTGTAATTATCTGGAAGTTCTTGATAAAGTTACTTCACCGTTATCAGATTATCTATCTCTTCCCTAGTAAAACTAATATAATAATAGTGAATGTAAGTACATGTTGTGATGATCTCATTAAATAAAAAAATCTTAATGGGGCTAACAGTACTTGCCACATAACAAGTACTTAACATTAGCTCCCACCTTTCCAGTAGGGTCCAGGGATAGTACAACTTATTTTTATGTGCTATAATAAATTATAATGATTCATTCTGTATTTAACTTTCTTATTTGATGGTGAACTACTGGAATGACTTAATTTTTGCCTGACCCATTGTAATCGATCAGGAAATGCCCTATAATCCACAGAATGAGCAAACAAATGAGTAGATGGAATCACCATCTCCATAACCTGCATAGCACTGTGGACACCACAAGCTGTTCATAACCCACTATGCCAGGCTGCCTTTCATAGCTGATTTCCTGAGGCCAGCCCAAACTGGACAAGAGGGAGAGGCAGATAGGCACTCACAATGCACAAATCCTAACATTGCAAGAGCACACAGCAACTTGCATTTTGACCCTGTGACTCATGATCCTAAGTGCAAATTCAGGATTCAAATAATTTTAAGGTGACCCTTTATATAAGACCAATTGTTCCAAAAAGCTAATGCCCTCTCAGGGTTGACTTAGAGCTTGTGTTAGCCTCCCTTACGCAAACTCTTGCCCAATAAAAATGACTTCAGTTAAGACAAAGGACCAGTTAGAGGGAGCATGGTCAAGGTGTAGCTGGAAACAAGCTTCAGCTTCTGGATGCTGTGCTTTAGCACAGGGCTAAAAATATCTGGCAAACCGCAATGATTTTTTGACAATTATTCTGGAGAATTGGCAAGCACAAGATAATCCTTAATGGGTACATGGTGGTACGAATGAAATCAATCACACTACAGGAAGGCAGTCTGCACCTTTCAAATAAGAAAGAAATATCAGTAAAATGAAATGATCTGAAATGAGTGAAAAATGAGTCTAATTCTCAGTCAAATGAAATTGCAAGTGCCCCAGAGCCAGAAGAGATCCTGTCCTTTTTCTTTCTTTTTTTTTCTTTTCATTCCTAAAGACAACCAGATGAAGAACCAATCCATTCACATACTTGGAATGAAGGACTTGCTTATAATGGGAGATCTGCATTTAAAAGAAAAAAATGAGACAAAATAATCCTTTTCTTCAAACCTACAGTTCAGTTCTTTTCATTTCTTTTTTTCTTACTTTTTCCTTTTTTTTTTTTTTTTTACTTCCTCTTCCTCTCTCCTTCCATTTTCTTGCCTCCTTCGTTGCTATTGGTGGTGTGTTTATGACGTGTTCTGAGGAGGAGCCCAGTCCTGCTGGAGCAACCGCCTTCCTGTGTGGCTTACTAGAGAAGATGTGTGTACAAACACCAAAAAGAGGTACCTCCTCTTCAGAGACCTGGAGTAGGGCCGGAGATGTAGCTCAGTGGTTTCGCCACCTGCTGCGCAAGGACCTGAGTTCGATCCCTGGTACAAAAAAACAGAGACCTGGAGAAGGACATGTGTCCTAAAGTCCATGGCCAGAATTTACAGAACCAGCACATGGTAAGGAAAGTTGAGTGGCAATGGAGCCATGTGAAGAGCTGATGGTGGCTCAGGAACCCATCCAGGCCATGCTGGGCACCCTGAGCTTCAGATGCCTATTGGGAAAATACAGATAACCTGTGGCATTTGCAGGAAAATGGATGTGCTTTGAGACCGTAATATTAAGTGAAAAAAAATCAGACACACAGGCTTAATTATCACAATATAAATAAAGAGCAAAGTAAAAGACAGCTAACAGGAAAGAGAGAGGGAGGGAGAGAGAGAGAGAGAGAGAGAGATCTTTAGGAGTGAAGCAGACCAAGAGATGGAGGGAGTGAGGAATCAGGGGAAGAGAAGGGGACGAAAAAGGAATTAAGATGTCTTATGTACATGTATTAACTCCCCACAACGAATGTAATCATTATGTACTGCATACACGTACTGATAACAAAATAAAAACTGAAAAATTAGTATATACTATTACAGATGTACAAACAAAAAATACAGATAACTCTATCTTATAGGAGTTTTGAAAGGATTAAGTGATTTAATACTGTACGAATATGAAAAGTTCTTGGAAATGAGGCCAGAAACCAAGCCTTGAAAATAACATTAGGCATTGTGATTATTATGAACAACATTCAAGATTTAATAATTAAGAATTTGAACATAAATCACTCTCACATAAAAAGTACTCAATATAACTGTAGCTGTTGTTATTATTATCATTGTTATTCTTACTCTGTCTTTCCTTTGTTTTATTCTGAGACATGTTCTCACTATGCTGCCCAGGGTGGCCTTGAACTCATAATCCTGCTGCCTCAGCATCCTGAGTGCTAGGATTACAGGCATTGCTTCTGTCTCTTTGCTTGGCATCTTTGGATTTAACTGGAAAGTCTGCTTTGCTCCTGACTTAGAGGGTGTCAATTTTTATGCTAGCTTTTAGATTCCCTAAGATTTTGCCCTCTGTCTGTCATAAGACATGCCTGTGTTCAGTCATACCCCTGCTCTCTTACTATACATGCTACAATTGAAATTTTGGACTATTTGCACTTTCCTTCAAATATGCCTTGTTATTTTTCACTTTTGTGTGTTCTTATTTGTGTTCCCCTGCCTAGGAGCCTGTTCACACCTTTGCCTGGTTCCCCTGTTTATCTTTTATGGCTCAGCACAAATGTCTTCTCTCTCATTAAGAGTTTCCTAACCTAGCCTTGTATCTATTTACAGTATTCATCTCACTCTCATGGATCATCTGTCTCCCCTATTAGACAATTACAATAAGTCAGCAAATTTCTATTAAGTACATTCTGGAGGCCAGGCACTAAGCTGGATACAAAGAGAAGTATGATAAGACCCTTGTCTTTCAGGAGCTTACGGTATTCTAGAAAAGCAGATTAGGAAGCCAATGAGAATCAAAGTGGTAAGAGCTGGAATTGTGTTGTAAAGGATAAGTGAAGTCATTCATGAGGGTGAAATGCCAGAAACTATGTCTTACAGACTATCAGGAACCAGTGAAAGATTTGAGTCGGGAAGTAACATTATTATTTTATAAAGTAGAATATCATTATTACTTCCCTAAGAAAAATAGACTGGTGTGCAGAAAGATCAGGTGAGGAGGGACAACCACCACTGCCTGGAGCAATATCTGTTCCTTTAGCAAACACACTCACACACACACACGTACACACACGCGCATCTGTACTATGTCAGGCTGTGCCCTGAGGGGATATAAATTCTCACTTAGGAGTCTGCAGATCTTCTAGATCTTGGGCACAGTATGATGTGACATAATGGGCTAGTCAACACGTAAGAATATTCAGGATCCACCCTATACAGTGTCAACTTACCAGTTTTCCAGTAACACTCTGACCACCTTCATTCAGCCAGAACCCAGGGACCATAGCTGAGAAATAAGGCCCCCACACACCTGGTACAAAAATCGGGTCTTTGCTGATCTAAAAAGAAAGAAGTAAAGTGTGTGAAAACATTGACCCTCAGGGCTCGAGGAAGCTTTACCCTTCTTCCACCTGATGTTTTTCTGACCAGGGAACTCAGCTTCTTGTTAATTCATGCAGTGGTGGGTAAGTCACTCTCTCTCAGAGAAGGTCATGGCTTCATTTTTGGAAACCTTTCTGATGAAACCATTTAGATGTCAAGGTAGAAAACACGATCATTATGGAAAGAAACTGGTGAAGCATTTCCTTGCTGCCCCATTCTCTGTGGCAGAGATTGCAACATTGGTCTCCATTCTCTATCCGTCCAATATTCACATGCTTCACAAGGAGACCTGCAGCTCTCTCATTAAGAGATGGGTCTATCAAGGAGTGACTCTGTCCAGTGTTCTAGGCCTAGGCCCAAGAAGGCTTTTTGCTTCTATTCCTTGTCTTGCCCCTCTGCCACGGCCATGAGTTTTGCTCTGGATGAAAAGACATGATCAGCCTCATGATCTAAGACTATGTGCCAAATATGGGACAGAGCCCAGGCAAGACCAGCAAGTCCCCTTAGTTGCCTAGCAACTGACATTCCCAGGGTTTCAGGATCACCCAGCCAACCAACAGATTTATGAGCAAAAATTCATGTCCTCTGCTATGTGTTACTAAGATTTCATGTTTTTTACCTAGCATTTCTGTGGCATAGATAACTGATACATTTCTTTCTTCTTAAAATCATTTCCTAGACAGTTAGTAGCATACTCTGTGGATGGAAACACAGAAATGAATCAGACAGAATTTTCCTTTCATGAAAAAAAGAAGCTCGGATCCACGAAAGAACTATACAGTTAACATATACAGACTATGATTTGATCCATGGGATGATAAAGACAAAACACAGACTTTTAAGAGGGATCTTGGGGCTGAGAAGCGTGTTAAAGAAAAGTACAAAGGCCTCGGTTTAGATAACTACCCAAGACCCAGCTACCCATAACCAAGTAGCCAAATCTTAAGTCATCCTAACTTTCCTGAAATTCTAGCTTCCACAATAAACAAGTACAAAATATAAGTTTTATGTTTTTGTCAGAATGATTTAATGAAATTAAAATGAAGCTTTGCATCCTTGTCAGCATGACTCAGTGAAATTAAACCAGTAGCTATAGGCAATGAGTCTACTCAGTTCCGCCCCACCCCACCACACAGCAAAGAACCCCATTAACAGCCAATGAGGAAGTCAGGAACAAGGCCAGAATGCTTTCTCTCTTATGCTTTATAAACTGGGAGGTAACTCAACTGCTAAGCCTCAGCCTCCCACCACTTGGGTTGAAGTCTTGCTGATCACAATCTGTACTTTTTGTATGACAATAAACCTTTCCGTAGTTTGTTTTGATTTTACATTTGACAAGAGAATGGTACAGAGGTGGCTTCTTAGAGAAAGGGACAAAGGGTTAGTTTTGGGAGTAAGCTAGAAGAAGCAGAGCAGGCATTCCCAAACCAAGCCTCCTGGGAGAAAAGGTGGTCTCAGCATCTGAGGCACTGCAGTGTCATTGCAGCAGACCACAGTGCCCTTTGAAGGTGAAGAAAGTATGTAAGGAGATGAGCCAGGACAGATAGTGGTGAGCCATGCATTCCTTCATCCTCAGTGGTACCTGCTTATCCTCCCCACAGCAGGAAGGGCTGCTAAAGTCAGATTTGTGAGTGTGGAAAGCTTTACCTGGAGGGTAGGGAGGTTATGAGAGTCAGACACACAGGGTCTACTCTACCAGGTCTTGAGGTTAAGCAGAGAATCTATTCATTTACTTATACAACAAATATTTATTCAGGTCTTACAATAAATTATTACTATGCTTATTACTTATTACTAATAGGGAAGAACTGAATATCCATGTTTTTGCTCTCACGAATTTTATGGTCTAGAATGAAGATAGACCTTCTTTAATTGCTTTTATGCCAGGTCATTCTAGTTTGTTTTTTCCCACTAAACTAGTGGTTCCTTAATTCTGTAGAATTTCCAACCTCCAAATGGGAAGGGAGTTTGCAAAGGCAAGGAAAAAATATAAAAATGTCAAGTTTTAATTTTGTCAAATAAGTGCAATTTATTAAAAAAGGGGGAGGGATGGGCATTTAACATATACAATAAGAAGAACAATCTCAGAGAAATAGGCCTCTAAAAGCAAAGTAGTTCAGCATATTCATCCTTTCCTTTACTGGACCAGCAGATGTTCCCTGAGATCCTATCATGATCCAATGCCTGTCAAGCACTGGAGATACATGGGAAGGCAGTACAGCCCTTTCTGTCCCATAGTGTGCCATCCTCAGAGGGAGGAAGGTAAGGTGGCCATTCAAGTTTGCCAGTACTGTGCCAGTTCCAGCACTGAAAGTCTTGTATCTTGAAAACTGGTGAGCCCCAACCAAGCCATGACAGCTAGTAACTATAAAACAACCATTAACTGAAACCTGTCACAGCCATGTATTTACAAACCCTAAATGAATGAACGGAAACGAAAGGTATTATGAGAGCACAAAATTGAGGTACCTAATCTAGCCTAGGTGGCAGGGAAAGCTTCACAGAAGTGCTATGTGAATTATGATATAAAATATACATAGAATTTACTCATCTTGGTGAGTGTATTTGTGTGTGTTTGTGTGTGTGAGAGACAGCAAGCGAGCCAGCCACAAGGAGTACACACTCACTGGCCCTTGTTTTTGTCAACCTGCCTCTGCCAGTGAAAATTTTGCCAATGCCAACAGTAGAAATTCCTGATCTAACCTGCACTGTAGAGCTTTGGGGTGAATAAAGCAGCCCATATTTGTAATTGTATTTATAACTCAGGATTTGGACAGGGAGAAAGACACCCACCAAGGCCAAATCATCTTTGTGTGCACTGCACTTCCTCTCTTCAAGAACTCTCAGGCCCACTTGACAGAGTAGTCTTGGAGAGGTAGTCTAAATTGTTCATGGTCACACAGCTACTAAATGGCCGAGGGATTGGAGCTGAGGCAGATGCTGTCCTCAGCCCCACCCATAGGCTTTCTGTTCCTCAGAGATTCCTTAGGAAGGACCCATATCTGCCTAGCTCCCACCCAGGCCCACAGGAAGTATGTCTTGTCACCTCAGCAAGCCTTCACTAGAGCACAGGGCTCTCACTTGGCTCTGTCCACAGACCATTTTGAGCTGATGCACTTCTGTGCTCATTCATCTGGCATGGCACATGCTTTCCATCAGAAATTCCAAGTAAAGTAAGGAAACAAAGAGAACGTCCAATCTTTCTTGTTTTAAAGGAAACGAGTAACAGTTTGTTTTGAGGAAGAAGGGAGTTAGAGAATGCACATTTGTGTATTTATGTATTCTTTAATCCTTTCCAGTAAACCTAAATATTTGAAAATATTTTTGTGAAAGCTCCTCCTAGGCTGATGGCTATCTTGGCCGGGAGGCTGCTCTATGATCCAAAAGGAGAGAGCTGACTGCACCACAATGAGACAGTTTATTCTATGTCAAATACCAAATAAACGTTTGCTCTCCTGAAATTGAGACCTGCAGGATGGAACACTCAAGTGACTGAGCATCCAGAGCTCAAAGTAACTGGAGCCAGGATGGAGGTCACATATTTGCCCTTGGTCTCATTTTAGTCACCATCCCCAATTATAATTTAGAAGTAAAGGGTATCGTATTTTCAGATATTAAAACTTGGAAGGATTGATTATTATGTGACATGTTCCAATCAAGAATCAAAATTACCTCAGAGAGCTAGGACAGTAAGCACAATTAAATAAGAAATCAGTTAATTTTTTAATAAAAGTCAATTTTATTTCCACATACTGGCAAAATACAATTTGAAAATGAAATTAGGAAAGCAATTCCACTTATAATAGTATCAAAAAGAAGGTATATAGGAATGAATTTAACAAAAGAAACGAAAAACTTATACTGTGAAAACTATAAAATGTTTTAGAGAAAATTAAAATCTAAATAAATATAGAAAAAAATCCATGTTCAGTGTGATGGTTAAAGTGGACTGTTAACTTGACCGGCTTAGGGATCTGCCCAGGGGATTGAAAAAGCATAGCGCTGGGTGTATTTGTGTGGGTCATGGAGGCATGGCCTTGGGGTCTATGTCTGTTCCTTGCTTCTTCCTCTCTGGTGTTCTTCCCCTGCTCTGTTTTTGGGCCAACATGAACTAAGCATCCTTCCAATATGACGTTCCTGACTTGGAGTCAGCCAACCATGTACTGAATTCTCTGAAGCCATGAGTCAAATTAATCCTCTTCTCTTTTATACTGTGGATGTCAGGAATTGTGTCTTAGCAATTGGGAAGCTGAATAAAACATTTATGAATCAGAAGATAGTATTTTTAAGATGTCAATGGTTCACCAAATTATCTACAGATTCATTGAAATCTCCATTAGAATACCACATAGATTCTTTGTAGAAACTCACCAGCTGATTCTAAAATCCATATGGGATTGCAAGGTCCTATATTAACAAAAACAATTTTGGAAATAAATAGGATAGTGAAAAGGTACTAGCAATATCCTCTTCCATAGGATGGGTAGTGGGTACATGGGTATTCATTTTTGTATTGCTTAAATTGTACTTAGACATTTGGCATGGTTAGACTGTATGCCAGGAACTGAGATCAAGAACAATGTTGTAAAAGTAATTATGCAGAATAATAATAGGGATGACGATGACAACAATGATGATACATGGCCCCAAAATTGCAAACAAAAATGGCAAGCATTACAATAAGGTTGGAGAGAAATCTGGTAGAAGCCAAAGGCAAGCACCACTAAGTGGCCGGGAGAAGAGTAAGCACCTATCAGAGGTGCTCACAGAGACACAGGGCTCTAACTGAGGAGACATGGTGGCTTGGGGGAGAGGAAGGTATTGCAGGGAGAAAGGACTCAGTATCACAGAGCAGTGAGTTAGTAAAGGCTCAAAGTTTTGCATTCAGCTTTAAAGGCAAGTTCATATGGTTTAAAGAATAGGTATAGTTCTGTATCCACAGATCCTAGTGGTTGTT